GTTTTGCTTGGTACAATATTTGTCTTGTTTTTCTCTTCCGCAAAATGTTGTACTTTTTAGATATTATTATTAATATTGTGTCAGGAAAGAATTAGCTGCGACCTATTCTCAGCGCTTTTGTAATTGTGCTCCTCGGCTAGCCACTATTGGTCTGGGCTAATGTTCTTGTTTTCAGCTAGCCGACAGAATTAATGTTGTAGCTGCGAATGAATCAATGAATGAATTAGACTGGAAGATAGAGTCTAGAAAATTCGTGGAAAGACTTGAGTTTCCCAAGTCAAGTCAATTCCAAGTTTTGAACGCAATGTACAAGTGGCTTTAGAAAGTCATGTTCGCGTTGGCTGGAGGTGAGTGGAGGTTGGTATCACGACACCTCTTTTGGGTCCCATTGATTCACAAGCAAACGTGAAGGACTAGAATTTTACTAACTCATCGCACCGGACAATCGAGTGGGCAAGGTTGAAATTAGGGGACTTGGCCAATGAACCAAAGCAGTGGTGGTTGAGGAATCTAATGGGTCATTTGGCATTAAAACGGGTCTATTTTCCAAATATCTTTATCTAAAAACATGTCCAACAAAAAAAAAAAGGGGGAAATCTCATCAATTCATCTGCTTTGAAATCCTTTTCATAGTGAAACATTTTAGCAAAGGCATTTTGTTCTTCATAATTTTTAATTAGTTTTCATTTAAGAATTTTTTTTGATGAAAATAGAAACAGACCTTGGGGAGGAAATTTTATTTACTCAACCATTTTGCACTGAATCCAAATTTGACCTATATGTATATGCGGGTCAATTTCACCCAATTGGAATTTTAGATTTCTTCAGCTTTCTAAAAAACCTATTGTTTGTAATTTTTCTTTAAAAATTGGACAATATTTTATATATTTTTTCAAAAATAATTTCAGAATTAGAGATTAGACTCCTTTGAAACAGTTTGACGTGTGAAGGCATCTTACTTCTTCAATTTTCTTGGAGATTTGAGCAACATTTAAAAGCAATCGAACCATCTTATTAATCAGAGTTCAATCACTCTTGGGAAAACCGGAGGTTCACTAAAACTCTTACACGTTTAAATTTGGTTTTAGTTGGCCACATCTTCGGTTTTATCTCTTTTATGCATTCACTCCTATTTTCATTTGGATTCCTTATTTAATTTGATTTTGATTCGATTTCTTTATTGTTTTTGATAGTGTAATTGTATGTCCTAAAATCCAATTGCTTAGCTGTATAGAGACACATTTTATGTTCTAAGCATTTACAATTAACAAAAGGCATTCTATATTTGCATAAGACTGGTAACTATCGATTAGATGAAATTCCGTCCATCGAATGTCATGAGCTTTGCAAAAACAATTATAAAGAGTTATAATTAAGAAAGCATTATTTCTAAATTGTTCCTAGTTAATGTTATTATCAAGAAAAATGGATATTGATAAAGCATGAAGATCGACACATGATTATCTTCTCCACTTGTGAAGTGAGCAATTGATTTCATAAATTGAAGTATAAAGATATCTGAAATAACATGTGGGTGCTTCTTACAAGAACAAGTTTACTAGATATGACCTTTCATGAGAATTCCATTTGGTATATTGCTCAAATGTCTATAAAACAAATTCTCATGTGGGTGCTTCTTATAAAAACAAGTTACCTTATGTGGAATGTTATTTTTTTGATACTATCTAAAGTATTCATAATCAAGGATGCTCAAAAAGGGACGAATATCAAGTATATCACGAAGCACATGAAGGCAAGTCAATAATCAAAAGAGGATTCATCATGTTAAATGAGACTAAGGGGACAATTGCATTGTACCTTGATAAGTGATAACTCATGGAAGCTATAAGCCTAGGCAAGTAGAGATGTTGGCAAAGGGTTTGTCCACTCTCTAATGATGAGTTTGACTATTAGAATGAAGTGCTAAAATGGAAAAAACAAAAATTAGAGTAGACATTGCACCATACTATGTGTTTTGTCGAGAGATTAGATGATAAAGTGATAATAATTATATAACAAGATTATACACTGAAAGGATGAGTCAAACCACTAAGATTCTTCTCAACATTTGGGTAGTCATTACACATTTTAGATGTCAATCTTCACTTATAAGTATGAATTAAGGGAATTGATGATGAATGCAAAGGAGTTTAATTAATCTAGTCTTATTGTCAACATATTAGGAATCTAATGGTTCACATACATTAAAGAATATTGCTTGAGAATTTGCAAAGGCGTTAACAAAGTTGGACTTAATTGAAAAAAGTTAAAAATTTCAAGAAATTAATTGAATGATTTTAATTAATCCTAAGGTAATTTTGTAATTAAAATAAAAGTCATGTAAATCCTACTAGGATTAGGATAAACTCGATTGCCTTTACATATTAGGCTTGTGTTGCACATTATGAGGTAGCAATTCATGGCTACAGTCAATCCACAAACAAAGAAATCCTAAGAGACTTGTGAAGAAATCGACAAAAAAGGTGAAAGCCAGTGAGCCGACTTCATTTAACCCTATGAGCAATCGATTATTCTTCATTCTCCATTTCAACCATATGTGTCTTGTCGAGAGATTAAATGATAAATTGATAATAATTATATAACAAGGCTATACACTGAAAGTATGAGTCAAACCACTAAGACTTTTCTTAACATTTAGGTAGTCATTAGACATTTTTAGATGTTAGTCTTAACTTATAAATATGAATTAAGGGAATTGATGATGAATGCAAAGGAGTTTGATTAATCTAGTTCTATTGTCAACATATTAGGAATTAATGGTTCACATATATTAAAGAATATTGTTTGAGAATTTGAAAAAGCACTAACAAAGTTGGACTTAATTAAAAGAAGTTAAAAATTTCAAGGACTTAATTAAATGATTTTAATTAATCTTGAGTTAATTTTGTAATTAGAATAAAAGTTATGCAAATCCTATTAGGATTAGGATAAACTCGATTGCCTTTAAATATTAGGCTTATGTTGCACATTATGAGGTAGCAATTCATGGCTACAGTCAATCCACAAACAAGGAAATCCTAAGAGACTTGTGAAGAAATCGACAATAAAGGTGAAAGCCAGTGACTGACTTCTTTTAACCTTATGAACCATCGATTATTCTTCATTTTCCATTTCAACCATAGTTTATTCTTCCCTTGAGTGGGGACTCTTGGTATTCCTTTTATTGATAGAAGTTTACGAAATAATTGACCAAAGCCCTATGTATTGACCAAAGCCCTATGTATTGACCAAAAAAGAAGAAAACATGCAAATCACACATAACTTAGAGAATTGTCTCCTTGTTGTCGACGAATTCCCCTGGTTGTTGGTTGTGTTCTCACTTCTCCTTGTGAAAAAAGTAATAAAGTAGTTGAATGCCCTACAAGTCAATTGTTGTGTTGAGATACATCTTATAGTTAAGTATTTGTTATATATAAAAGGCATTTGTTTATTTTCTAAAAACCTATAAATATCAATTAGTTGAAATAAAATTCATAGAATTGTTATAGAAGTACTATGAATGGTTATAATTATAAGGATCTTATTGCATCAAAGCATTGTTCTTCAATTATTCATAGTCAAAGCTTTATCAATGAAAATGGATATTGATAAAACATGAACACCAAAACATGGTCATGTTCCTCACTTATGAAATGGACAAACAATCTCATAGATTGAAGTGTGCGGATACTTAAAATAACATGCAAATGCTTATTATAAGAAAAAGTTCATTAAACATGACCCATTATGAAAATTTCATTTAATATATCACTTAAGTGTCTATAAAACAAATTCTCATGTAACAGTTGTGTAACTAATCTTTAAACTTGAGATCATTGGGTTACCTTATATGTGAAGTGCTATGTTTTGATACTATATAAAATGGTCCTAGCCAAGGATGCTTAAAAAGGGATGGATATTGAGTATAGCATGAAACATATCCACAAAAGTCAATGATCAATAGAGAATTCATCACCTTAAGTGAATCTAAAGGGAATATCCTATTGTGACTTTAATAATAATAACTTATGGAAGTCCTTAGACAAGGCAACTAGAGAAGTTGACAAAGAGTCTATGCACTTTCTAATAATGAGCTTTAACATTAGATTCAAGTGCTAAAATGGTAAAGACAAAATTAGAACAGATATTACATCATGCTCTAAGTTTTGCTAAGATATTGGATGATGAAAGGATAATCAGTACATTACAAGACTGTTCATTGAAAGATTAAGTCAAATCATTATGACTCTTTCTAACATTAAGTAGTTATGATGTATTATTAGATGCCAATCTTGACTTGTAAATATGAACTAATCAATTGAAAATTGATAATGAATGGAAATGAGTTTAATTCATTTAATCCTAGTTGGAGATTATTGTTATTGGATTTGCCATACAAGTGAACATGTTGTTAACAAGTAATATAATAGAAAGTAGAGTATCGATCACACGAGGAATTCTTACTAAAATTTTACTAAACATTAAAATTAACACAACTCAATCTTATCTAAACAACTAATTTTTAAAACTACTAAAAACTAAAACAACTAAAACTAATAACAAGAATCACAAATTAACTAGATAAACTTAATCAAACAGAAACCTAGAATCACAATATCCCTTAAACATTGTATTTAAATCTCCTTTACTTTTTGTTTCACTTACTAGACAGCTGAGTTGTTAACCTAGATTTCTAATGTATTTATAAGTCTCATCCAATGTTCTTATAAAAATATCTCTCTTAACTAATCTACTATATTCCTATGCAAATTGCAATTAAGAAAAACTCATCAAGCGTAGACTCTAACTATAGCTACATATGACATGTAAGTGTATTCCTACCCGACACATGAATCAAATCAATCATTTCATACAATTGAAATTGAACATATACTATTTCATCCAAGACTTACACTAAACTCTCCCTTCCAGTTTCGTTTAGGTTACCATATTTATCTAATTGGTGATCAGGCAATCAAACGCACTAATCAGAGGATTGAAATAAACAATTCAAACACTACCAATCATAAACAAGAAAGAGTATTAAACATTCAAACTATATGTTGGGTTGAATTTCAATTTTAGATAAGAAATTTAGTTCCTCATGATTACTAAAAATATCATCCAAAAAAGTTTAACTATTAACACAAAACAAAGAAAGCATAAGAAGAACAAAAAAAAAAAAGAGAACTAAGATTTGTCAAGTCTTCGATCTTTAATCCTCAAGAGTTTTTTCTCACTTTCTTGCTTTCTTGATGGCTATTTTTCTTCAGAGGAAACCTATCTTAATTGTTGCCCTTAAGTGATTTGAAGAGGCCTTTA